AAATAAAATCATTTGAACTTCTCAGGTCAAGGAACTGTTACTCAGTAAAGATTTGTCCAGTATTTATCACAAACTGAAACATATTTCTGATTAGGCATGGGTGTTCTGTTGTAATAGAAGTGCTAAACAATAACAATTATACATTTTGCAAGTGCAAATACTTGTATGTGCAAATCTAGGTTTCTGCATGCTCTAATAAGGTGGTTTCAAATTTTGCAGGCACATTTACGGGTCTCAAAAATTTGACATTTCAGGAGAACAACTCTATTACTGAGTTCTAAAACAGTTACTCACCCTTCTTTTAAATGCTTACACAGTTTAAAAATATAGTCAAATGATTTCAGATGTATACAGCTTGTTAAATTAATGCAGTGTAATAAAAAGTTGGTACATATAAAAGTTTACAAGATACAAGCAGTTAATTGATTAAAAAGATATAGCAAAATAATCTTGGAACTAGACTATCAAGTATTTGTTGTGCATCATCATGTTAAAACCTTTCAAAAGGATTACATTGAAGCCAATTTAAAAAACTGAGAAATAGGAGAAACGGATGGATCAAATAAGTCTTTCTTGGAAACTTTTTTAAAGTTTTTAAAATATTGCTCCAAAAATGCATCCATAGAAAGAAATTAGGAAGTAATAGCTTTTTCCCTTGGAAAAAAATCAACCCAATGAAAACATTTCATGTTTGCTCAAAATTTTCTTCAAAAATATTGAATGCGGTTGTGATTCTTTAAGATAAATGTACAGCTTTGATATTCAAATATAAGAAGTCAAAACAATTCCATATATTGAAGAAGAAATTTTTCAGGGGAATTTCTGTCCTGATACTCTAAGTTTTGTTTTGTGTTATTTGTTCTGGTCACTTTCTCTGTCCCTGACCAATATACATATCCCTAAGATATGTATATTGCTCTTTTAGTGCTTGCTAGAAGTAAAAAAACCCAGACAGGATAAATGATTTCTGAATGCCTGATGATCATAAAGGACTAAAGAGAAAGGAAGTTACTTCCTTGACAGTTCTTTGTAGAACGAAAATGAGCAATGTAGCTATCCTACACCTTAGGGGTCAAGACCTCACAGGTTCCATATTACTACTTTTTTAAGGCCAGGAGTCAGCTTTCAGCACTGCAGACAAAAGGAAGGGTCATGTCTCTACCGTTCGAACACAAGCCAAATATAGACAAAAGATGGTGGGGAAAGAGATGGTTACTTGCTGGGGGAGTGAGGGGAAAGGCTATATCGGCAGAAGCATACAATACAGTGATCTGAACTTGAGATCATGGAGTACAACACATGACTTACATTAATGAGCATATGCTCACCTATGCTACTGTCTGTAGCGCCACTAGAATCCTAAGTTTAGCTGTGGTTTAGGGTCCTACTTAACATTTTGCATAGACCTAATAACAATTTTATGGTTACTTAGAGCAAATCTAATCATCCCTGAAAACTTATTTAATGTGGGGAAGGGAAACAATTGCTTGAAAACAATATTTGCCCAAAAGACTAGAATGGCTCATTAGACACATTTGTATGTGGGCTTTTTCACTTTACAGTGCATTATTGAAAATAAATACAAAAATTTAACAGCTCCCCTGGAACCACTTAATCCATCATGTACTTTCTCTGTACAGTTCCATGGTTTACTGTTGCGAAAGCACAAAAAGGCTCTGCAGTGCAAAATACAATTCTTATTAAGTACTGTTACTGTTTCCATAAAAATTTCATAAAAATAACTTAAGCTTTTAGGAATGTTTTTCAAACTGTTGTAAAATTACTACAATATATTTTACACCAAACATTTGCCACATTTGATTCTGCTCAAATTAGGCTAATATTTGTGATACAGCAGAAATGTACATAGGCCACAAAAAATGGGAGTACGGAGTTTACAACTTCTCCAAATTAAAGTATTTTACATTTCTTAATAGAGATACAAAAAGCGACATATTCATTGACTAAAACTGTGCTAAGCTTTTGCTCGGTCCTTCTGTGAGTACACTCGGAGAGTAACTTGTGAACCATGCTCTAAAGCCAATGGGTTGGTTATACTATATACCCTGAATGTGAGACAGCTAAGAAATCAGTGGAAAAAAAAAATCTTTTGCATTAATTCTATTCTTCACTGATAAGGGACTAGAAATAGTTAATTAGGGGATTATTTTTCAAGTTACATGCCTGATAATTTGGCAGCCTCATTTTTCCTAGATGCAGAGCACCCATAAAGCAAGTTTAGACACAGAAGTCATTCACTGTTGTTATTAACAATACCAAAAATAACACAACAAGAGGGCACAAACTGAGTTATTATTCCTTTGGTGTTTGACCACAATTTAAATTTAAGAAAATGAATCTTGAAATACCTTACTACTTATGACGAAACATACAGGATACTCATAGAGAACAATGAAATAGTTAAAAAGAAGTTGCTCATTGCTGAACACCTATGCTACATTTGATCATGAAATTGTTAACTTTTTGGATATCAGGTGCAAAAAAGTGCAAAGAATATTTAGTTAACTGTTACAGTACCACATTACAAAAAGTATTTTCTAGGCCACAAAGGCCACTGCTGATATAATTTATATTAAGATAAATGTATACACAAAATAGTTTTTCAGTCTCCACATATATATATATATATCTCCATTTCTGTATCAACCTTGCAAATCATGATGAAAATTACCTAGGCCACAGAATCTCAAGATGATAACAATGATAGGCAGATAAAAACCCCTCAGACGAGAGCTTGTTCTCCTATTCAAAAAATTACTCACCCAGAGCAAATGGAGGAATGAAATTCTGCAAGGCTGATCTGTATTTATGGGGATGAAAGTACAATCTTGGGCAGGGAGGATCAGTGTTCAGCATTACCAGTCCTCTCTGGGAAAAACTATTTCTGTCTAGAGGCCATGAATAGCAACCTGGAACAGACATTCAAAAACTTGGGCTGGAGCCTTTTTTTTTTTTTTCCTTTTAATTTGTAAAGAATGTCTGAAGAATTTATTTTTTATTTACTTATTTGCTTCCTGTTTTTGTAGGCAGAGATGGCAATGTATAAACCTGCCTTTTTTTTTTTTTTTTTTTTTTGCGTTAGAAACACTTCCAATGTTAAGACCAACCTTCCTAACTTTCCTGGAGCAGTAAGACACTTCAAGGCATATTTGACTGCCTTAGAGATTAGTTAGCAGAATGGAGGGACTGGATCTTCATAAACATATTCTGCGTCAACGAGGCCAAATCAACCAAGCCAAAACGGTTCTTTAGAAGTCTGTCTAAACTGGCTTTTCCCTTTACCACCAGATTAGTTCCCACAAATTCTTCCATTATCATAAACCAATCTTCTATTGGCATTTTTCTTGTGTATGACACTTTTCTTCTGTAAAAACACTGTTTTGGAAAATATTATCTTTCTCAGTTTTCTTTATACATTACAAAGATACAAAAAGAGCCACCGCCTCAACTTTTCTCTAGTTGCAGTTCAGCTTGCAAAATCTCAGTCCCAATCATGCAGTCTTTGCCATGCTCTTCACAGAAAGAAAAGAAAAAAAAAAAACCCAGAAAAAAAATTAAAAAATAAAATAATTATCCAATTGAGGTAAACTGCAGCATTAGAAAGAGCTGAATAGACAAAATAATATGCAGTTCTTTTCCAATTTTTAAAGCAGCTCACTTCAGCCAATACTTTTTTGCATTTGCTGTCACTGTGTATCCTAATAAATGAGTTTACTACCTTATAAAATTGTAACATTTCAACTTCTCTCTCTGTATATTGACACAAAACATATCTCAAATTCATATTTAGCATATAATTCTAGAGGCATATGACCGGAGACCAGAAACTATTCCACATGAGCTATGCACTTAGTCAAAATAACTTTGAAGAAATCTAATACTGTCACATTAAATCAAGAATCAGAAAAATGTTGTGCGTAACTGCAGTTTTTGGTCAACTTTTTGAACAGCTAAAATACATTAAATCAATTCTTTTACTTCAAAGCATTCTCCCATCTACAGTTTGACCTGCGTAAAGACCAATTAAGGACTGCATGATGCCAGCAGAAAATGGGCTGCTTCGAAGGGGCTGGATGCACCTCCACAGAAGACCTACATTTGTGTGGAGTTGCATCGACTTCTACACAACTCATTGCAGACATATTAGCTTTCCGCAGCGACACCCATACATGTGCTGTTCAGTGTCATGCAGCTGGGTCTTCATCAGCCAGTGGATAACCAAAGCAAAACAGCTGCTGAGTAGAGCCACAGGCCTTGGCACATGTGCCTGGTTGTTTTGTTGGACAGGCTAATGAGTTCCGTGGGGGCAGCCGGCGTCTTGATTGCTGGAAGATTATAACTGCATAGATCCAGTTGTGACACCCGTTCCATAAAGGCCGAACTAAAACCCAGTGAAGCCAGTAGGGTCCTTCTCATCGGCTTCAGTGGGCTTTTGATCAGCCCTTTCTCCCTGCCCAAGGAATGAACTGATTTTCCAAGCATTCAAAACATGACAACAGTTGTCTTTTCATGCAACATTCAATTTGAAGTGTTATCTTGAGAAATCATACAGGATTTAGTGCAATTTAGAAGAAATTTACTACATGAGCTATGTATGACTATTTTCTCTCCCTCGAAAGAATTAGGCATTACAAGCTGCAGTGGTTTTGAATTGCTCAAGGGATTTTTTTTTCTGATTTCTTTATCTATGCAAAGACATAGGTCATATCAAAACATTGCTTGGATATGACACTGGATATAGGCCAGAGAAAACAAGTGAATGAATTTGTATGAGAAAGGGTTATATTTGGTTCAAGTCAACTTCATTCATATGTTAAGAAATTATTATAAACCGTAATATAAGACTTAGAATAGGAAAAAAGTATTTTAATAAATAAATATGGATACAGTTCATCTGCGGAAGCCAAACCTTCTGTTGATGTAGAGGTGAGCTACAAGGGAGCTTTGGACACTGAACACGATGAATCCACTCTTGTTCCCTAGGGTGTAAGTGGTGGTTTTGGTGATGAACAAGATCCCTGGCTATCAAAACTGGTTGCTCGGCCAGGTAACTGCAAGAAAAGTGTTAGTTTTACAAATGTCATCATATCGGGCTGTGTATCACACTCATTTCAGAGGATGAGAGACTCCCTCAAAGAGGAACCCAAATCATATCTAGACTCTTTCTGGATCAAAGTCTCCTGCAGAACTAATAATGGAAAGCAAATTCCTAAAGTGACCTCCTAAAAATGCCTCTGATTTTGTTTCAGAGGAGTGGGTTTATTTCACCAGCCAGGGGTGGTACCTCTGTCTGCAGACTTACATAATCCAGAGGGAGCCACAAACCTCTAAAAAGAGGCTTCTTTGCTGCATTGACTCAGTTTCCTTGCCCTCACACCCTTCTTTAGGTGTTTTACTAAAGCCTTGCTGTTGGGCTTTTTCTACCTGTCACTGAACATGCTGTGCAGCCATGTGCTACACAGTGAGGAAACCCAAAATGGCCCATGGTGCCTCAGAGAGCAACTCATTTTTTCTATAGAGATTGCTTTTGGGAAGGGCTAAACAGTGTGCCTTCTGTGTCCCCAAACGGGGCCTGCTGCTTCTTGAGGCTTCAATATGAATCTTTCCAAATCCAAAGCTGTGAGCATTTTGCATACAGAAAACCAGTAAAGTGAGGCCCCAGCACATTGAAGAGGGAGTCCAAGCCCAGGGACTTGTAGATACAGTCACCCACGCATTTGAGTAAGTTTCCAATAAGTGCCTGTTTGAGTAACTCTGGAGCCAGCTGCTGGTATGTTGCCTCAATTTAGCCTAATTAGCAGGACAGTTTCAGACTAATGTTTTAGCAACATAATTCTTCGTGATAAAGATTTTTGAATAGGAATTACTGCTTTTGAAATACTTGCAAATGATCTCTTCTAAGTGGATATAAGCTACTTGTCATAACCTCTGGAAATTTTAAATGTCTTAATTTAATTTTACAATGCCATCAGTGCATCATGGAAACTTTTGAAATGGCACATTTAAGTAATAAATAAACCCATGAAAGTGGATTTAGGTTGTGCTAAGGATCTTATAGCTGGTCCACAGATGCTGCACTGATTTTCATGATTCTCAGAAGTGCACAAGTGTGAGAGAGACAAAATCATTCAATATCCTGAGAAGGAGAAAATTTTGCTACTTCTTACCTCTAGTAGTGGATGCCAGTGAGTTATTGGTTTACGTGGGTAAGCCAACATTTCATTCCAATGATCTCTTCCAAGCCCTTCAGCATCAATTCCTGTCCGACATACCCCAATGACCTCATTGTGCCCTACTCTGAGAATTGCAGAAAGGCAGATTTTTTTAAAATAAAAATGGTTTTAATAACATCTGGTGTATAAATCTGTTTATTAGTTTAGCGCAGCACAGAATACATGCCCAAAGTTTTCATATTATTTATTACAGATATTAGTTTTAGTGGTAGTATAGTAATATTAAGTTCTGTAGTGGTATCATCAAAAACCTCCAGCTACTTCCAGAGTGCTTCTAGCAGCTATAAAAATAGCAACAAAGATTTAAACCTTGCCACAAAAAGGTTACAACCCAAAAGACGCAAGGACAGAAAAGGGCCATAATATACCAAATGATCTAGAACGACAGCATACTTAAATTTTGTGAGAGAGGAAGGTGAAGTAAAATGGCGGAGAATACATTTCCTACTGCAAAGCCTTCAGATGTCATTTCACACTGTATTTCCCAATTTGACTGTTGTGGACATTGGGACTGCAGTCAAAAATGTGCAAGGCAAGATGCACAGCCGTAATAGGCTATACCTTACTACTTCATACTCCTGGCAGTGCCATAGACTTGTTGAGGGACTCCAGAAAGTAATTTACTCTACCTTGCATATATGTACCTTAGAATAATGTTTCCTAACTTCCTCTTAGGAAACACTTTGAAAGGAGCAGCTGAAGAGTACTGAAAGTATGCAAGTGGCTGTGCTCTTCTCCTAATGGCACCACAGTGCCCATTTCACATCTGACTGAAAAAGTCTTTGTGACAGAAGCTGGAGGATGATCAGAAATCTGATGGCAAGGAAAACTATCCGAAGGTTCATGTTACTAAATTGGACTTTCACTGTTTATTTGCCCTGCAATCTCAAGAGCTCATTACTAATAGCAATTGAATGAAGCAGACTTGGCTCAGGCATGGTTCTGTCAGTCACTGTCTAGTTTAACCTGCAGTCCTTGAAGCCACTCTAAGCAGGAGTCTCTTCCTGTCAGTTCTCAATGAGGACATAGATAATTGAGGCTCAGATGTCTTATCAGCGAGGGCTGAACCCAAAGGTTACAAAGTTTCTTTATGGAGTCAATCGAAGAATTAATCATGACTTAATTCAATGAGGTAATTATCATTTAATTCTTTTGTAGTCATCCAAATTTTCTTTGATTTTGAATATCTGCCATTTAAATAGAAATTAGAGGTGTGATGGCCTTTTTTAAACTGGGAGACATACCTGATTTATCAAGCTTTTACATAGTCCGGCCAGCAGACGGGGACAGAAATTTATGTCAAGGCTAGTGGCCTGTAAGAAGATTGAGCCATGTTTCTTCCTCATCACAGTTATTTATAACATACATAAAATGGCCTGAGCTCTAAAAGGTGTGGAAACCTTAAACCTTCTCAGAAAAAGACCCAAAGGCTTCATCTTCTGTGACACTGAACCTACTTGAAAGTTCAAGGAGGTAGAAAGTAGCTGCTTGCAATGATCAGGTAACTTCTCACTGAAGATGAATGGTCAGAAAGCAAACTGTGCTTACCGATCATAATCCATCACTGCAATGGAGAGGCTGACCTGGTCCACATTCTCTGGAGGGATATCAAAGATGATGGCCTCGTTATAAACGGGATTGAGGGTGTTCTTCTTTGTGGTTGTTTTCCGCTTTTTCAGTCTTCGACCCTCACACATCAGTGACACTTTGACGTATGGATCTGAGTAACGGATAATCAGTTGTGCGCACTTGGACTCAAAGTAATTCAAATGTGTAGCATAAAAGCAATATTCTTTTGTAGGAATGTCATATTGATAAGACAAAAAATTACGAAGATTTTAGTGTCTCTGGCAAACACTTCTTTCAATATGCTGTCAATGCAAAGGAAAGGTATAGGCATTCTGAACAGACATACTGTCTGCCAGACCAAAGACAGACAGTAGATCTGAACAGGGCCTATACCCATTCTCCTGCTACTTCCATTTCACAACCATGTTAAACACACAAAACCCAAGGAATTCCTATTTGTCCTCTTCCTGAATAGACTTTGCCTTAAGTAAAAAAGAAATAGATTCACCTGATGCGCCAGTTATATCCATTGCTTTGAGATTCCTACATTTGATGACCGTTAATGTCATTCTCCCAGCAGTAGGCAAATAACAAAGAGAAAACATGATCTCACCCAAATCTATGCTTTCCTGAAAAAGAAAAGCAATTATTAGAAATCTGACCATACAGCCAACAATTCAGTTCAGATCATGTAAAAATCTAGAATTTCTTTTTTAACATGGGAAGGATTTCTTTTGCAGCCTCACATGTTTTTGAAGAAGTCACAAACAATTTTCAGAAATTATTTCTATAAAATACAGGAGTATCAACAGGATAATGTTTTAGTGACAGGACTTAGAATTACTTAGAAATTAAAACAAAAGCAGAGTCAAAATTCTGGTTTCCAGATACGTTTGTGTGGAAGTCACACAAATTAAAAGGTGCTGAATGTAGAATGTCAAGTTCTAGTCTTGAAAAGACACAGACTCCATCATCCCCAACAGAAAGAAAGCTGATGGGATATTTAGATCACAAACCTTTACATACTGTTTAGCCACTGGAATTTATGTAGGAGATTTATTTCTGCACACATGTATGTGTATGAAAAGTTTATCCTGTATAAGTGTTTCGAACAGATGAATGTGCTTGTAAGAGTTGTGAGCTTTATTGCTCTTACTGTGCTTTGAGGGGTCATTCTATTCTAAAAGAAAAACAAAATAAAGGAGTAGCACCTACAACTTTCCTGGCTCAACGGCAACTTTTTGGAAGATAATATACCAGGAAAGATTGATAAGGTCCATCCTCACAAAGAGATTGTTTCTATGTTGAGACAATGTGCTGTAAATTCATGCGATATGATGTTGCTATACAGTTCAGATTCTACAACACTTGAAAAGTGCAATCTAAAGACGAGATGTTCCATCAGTTCTTATTTTTTTTCTTTTCTCACAGGTATGCAATTATCGTAATACTAGAAAAGTTTATTTGTTGAGATGTTATGTTCTAAATTGTTCCTGTTCTCTTAAGATTTTAAATACACCTCAAAAAAAAAGTCCAAAGAAAAATGCATATTAAGAACAATTCAGGATTTTTAAACATGAACTTGTAAGGAGCATGTAAGGACGTCACTTCAGCAAGGCACCCACTCTCAAGCACGCTCATGTGACCTCAAAGGACTTTTTTGACTACTACTAAAAAGCTTATTTTTACTATCTTCCCTTCAATATTTTATCTGTCAAACCTACAGCTACCCCAAGAGTACAAATTTGTTTGAGAACTTCTGGATTTATAGTACAGCTCTTCTAGCATTGGAAGGCAAGCATGATATATTTTGAAATGATACAAACTAAAATAATGATTGCTGTGTAAATGACAAATATATTGCTTTATTTATGAGAGAGACTGGGGCTTCTTCTTCACATTTTTCAGCTGCTTATATGAACAGTTTTACTGACTTCCTTTGGGTTAATACTCTGTCTAAATTGAAATAGGTGCTTCAGATCTTTTTCAAGTAAAGACGGACTTAATGATATGCTCCAGGGTTGGGTTTTTTTCCCCCCTGCATTGTAGACTTTAGATTGAAGAATGCAGTTTCAGGATAGTTTTAAATTCTGTTTCACTGTTAATAGAATTGACTTTTGTGTAGGTTGGTCAAGTCACATGTTCAGTCATTTCGCTGGGACTCTCTTCTGAGAATTAATAGATTGATAAGCATGTGAACATGCACTGTGGGCAAATTTCATGCTTGTCAGGATTTCAGATTTCTCAGTATCTCAAAATTATTTAGTTCATTCAATCCACATAAGATAAATACAGCTATTTGACATCTCCTTCACCCAATCCCTTTGCCACATAGAGCACTGAATTTTATGCCACGGAATACATTAACAAACTCACTTTTCTATTTCAGAAAAATATAAATAAAACTAACAAATGATGTGTAATTCTTTTCACACACTTGTTAATGTGGCAAGTGCTCTTTGTTATAATTTACAGTTATTGTCATATCTGAAATCTGTTTTAGGCACAGCTTCTGTTACTAGCATTACTTTCTGAATTCAGAATCTGATTGTTGCTCCTCATATCCATATGTTTGAAAAGGAAATATAGTTTCCCCACATCCAGTGCTTCAAAGTTTAAGGTCTATGTTGAGAGAGGTGATGAAGATGGGCTGGATCATAAAACACACTGAGCAACTCATAAAAAAGACTAATTCTTCCTTCTTCAGAGAGATGACTTGTGTAGGTGAATACAGAAGAAATCATTTGCGCAAGATGGGATTACGAACCTGAGTATTCTACTAGTTCTTTTTGAAGAGAAATTGGATAGACACTCAAAGGTTTGGGTGTGCTCAAACGACAAACAAGAATACAGACAGGACTATTTACCATGACTTAAATACTTTTAAAAAAGCATTGCTCAAAATACTTGCAAAACTCCATATGGTGGTTACTCTACAGTACTTTTTAGAAAAGCAGACACAAGCATCAATGCTTAACATAATGGCAACCATTTGGGGCTTATGCTGAGTCCTTTTTCTTTCCTTTCTGAACACCATGTACTGAAGTTACACTGAAAAAGAGCTTGGAAAATCCCCTGCAATCAAAACCAGGTTGTTGTTTTTTTTTTGACCATGCAATGAATAAGCAAGATGCCTTAATGCAAAAAGAAATGTTTGGACAACAAATGAGTGGAATCTTTTCACTCCACACAGCAGACTGTCCAAAGGGCAGATGTACTGAAGTTACCAGAGCTCTGTAACCTGTGTACTGACTACTCAGGTTGAAGTGTTAAGGGATGCTCTCAGGATTGGGAAAAGGCTCTCTACCTCTCTACTGTTTCTGCAGGCATTTTCTGATACCTATTACCTATGCTTGGAAAAAACATGGCTTGTGCTGCCCTGAAATGTCTGGTTTTCTTATTGTGGAACAACACTCATGTTGCTCTATTCATTATTCTAATAGATAAATTCTGCAGTGGACTAGAACAGATATTATTTCAAATAAACACTCTTGTCTATATCAAAGACATCTTACACTCATTGTAAGATCAAAGGGCTAGAAATAGAATTAGCAGTTACTCTGCACTAGTCTGTGGACAGTATTTAGCTCACCTCCTGGTGGAGAGAACTGACTGTCATAGATTGCCACCACAGACTAGGAGTTCCCATGATCCTCAGATTGAGTTAAAATACAAATTCTTTTAGAGCTCTTTAAACTACTCCAATGATTCTATCTTTTTAACTTAATTTGGTACTGGTTGTGTCACCTGATTTTCGCTGACAGTTTTGTAGACAGTGTCTTATTTGTTAGTAGGGAATAGAAAATCTTTCTTCAAACTTGAGTGAACTGAGTATATTTTGTTAGGACCTCCACAAGTCATAGGGCAACCAGAAATTAAGATATTAAAACGCATCATTAAAATAAATATTCTTTGGAAATCAATCACACAGGTTGAAACCCAAGACTTACGAACATTTAAATACTCTTTTGAAGGAATAAGATTAAAATTATGCATATATATATATGATAGCATCAGAGACTGGGCATTGAGTAAAATGCCTAGGATATCATCATTCCTTCCCACACACACAGTTTTTGCTAACCTGAGCACTAGAGGTTCATGAATTTGGAGCTGAAAACACAGGTTCCGACCTAGATAATGAACAAATTAAGGATCAGAATTTAAACTTCTCATGGCAGTCTTTGTCTCCCACATTGATTACCATGAGGTAATTTTTAAATTTTTAAATGCCCTGTATCCTTAACTATTATTGATTTTAATTGAGATTTAAAAATAGGATTTAAATTAATTCAGAATCCCAGTGCTCTAGGAAATTCATATTTTTCGCACTTTGTAATACACTAGATAATTAAGCTCACACAAGTTATCTGACAGGAACACTTCAGTACAAGCAAATCTGAGGAAGCCAAGACACAGAGCACCCTCAACAATCACATCTGCATTACAGTCCACCTCAACCAAAACAGAACTCAGAAGACACAAGCCTGGACCCAGTGGAGTGGTTGCCATTCATGCAAATTTTTATCTATGTTTCAGATTGTCTTACATGAATCATATATTCACCTAGAATTGCACATTACCTAGGTAACTCCCACGAAATTTTATCTCTTTCCTAGGCCTATTTTGAGGTTTTCTTCTTAGATTAAATTTAGATCTCAATTAACAGCTAGCCTTACAGATGCTTGTAATGATTCCCCCCCACTGACTTCCGATAACGGGTACAGAAAAACCAGCATCGAGTACAGCTGCACTAATGCAAAGGCAAGCATTTGTTAGTACTGCATCTCTCTTCATTTATTTCCCTTTTGTGTACACAAGCCATCATACAGAACTAAGGAACTGGAACTGTGGTAAGCACTATACCAGCTTCAGTTACTTTTATGGCTCCCGGTTTACCTCACTATCCAATCCATTTTCTGGTACAGCGATGCTAGAACCAAATAAAACAAAGAAAACACCAATCTTAAATGTGTACGTTAGCTATTCAGATGAACCTGGGTTTTTTTAGCTACAGAATACAGATTTTCCAAACAGTGTAATCCTTATCCTGCAGAAGCAATCGCACCTGAATGGATGTACTAACATTTTTTTCCATTAGGTTACCAACAATCTGTCCACAGTCCTGCTTTATGGGCTCTTGGAAATCAGTCTAGGGGTTGGCAAAGTGAGATGAAAAAACATCCTTATTCTGTTATTTTTGTTATCATATCCAATGGACACCAGTTCTCTCATTTTCAAACTTACCCCTATGAAGTAGCAGCATTTCTACAGAGGCTGTGCTCCCTGCTCACAATATGGATAAACAGAGGAGGAATGCGAGGAGAAGTTTGAAGCCCTTGTAGGGGAGCATCAATTAGCCTGATTGATAGAACAATTGTTGCCGGAGGAAGCCCATACTCCAATTAATTTTCCCAGTTGTTTCCACCAAATTCAATAGAAAAGACAACTTTTAGCTAGGAACCTGCACAAATTCAGTGAGGAAGTTAGATAAAGATCCTTCCATGTTCAGGATAGTTTCTTCTCACATATCACCATCCATAATCCTGAACTGAACAGGAAGAATTATTTACTAACTATATTGATAGTGTAAGAACTTCTGTAGTCTCCCTCCTATACTCCAAGATCT